TAAATTGGAAAGAAATCGAGCTTTTATCCATCCTTCTGCACCGAGACTACTCGATGATGAAGGTGAATCCTTTTGAAAATGCTCTTTTCTTCCAATGACGATGGACCGTTCTTTCCCACTTGTCAACGGAAGAGGTTTGGGGCGTAGAGCATTGAAAGCTTGAGATGCCGGTGCCCGACCCCGCGAGAGACCCGTGCCCTGGGTGCCGAGGGCGGAGCGGTGACGAGCGAGACCGTCGTCTGTCTCTGGCTCTCTCTGCTCTCCTCCTGTTCTGTCCGGGTCTGCCTGGCGAGACGTCCTTTTATGCAGCTGTTTCTTATGAGGGCGTTTTGCTTGCTTAGGAGAGTGTCACGAGGGAAAGTAAAGTGAGCACCCTGCATCAGCTGAAGGGGAGGGCAGCTACGGGGCCTAGGTGCGAAAGAGGTAACCATCCGGCCTTGCATGTATCGCTGACACCACCTTATCCAAATTAGTTATTTTATGCGCTATTGGATTCTACGGGAAATTGTGTGTTACTATGCTTCTGTAGCTGCCTAAATCACCAAATTACTGTGAAATTATAAAGAATAGATAACGAAAACTGTGGCTATCATTTGAATAAAATAAAATAATAATAATAATAAAATAGCAATAGCCCTTGCACTGAGTCAGCCAAATTTTGCAGAGTTGTTTAAACATACTACAGACAACATCTCGAATTCGCGCAAAAGTATAGAGTTGGCAACTTCCATGTAGTGCCCAGCGGCCTTACAGCTGCTGAAAAATGCTCTGCCACTGATCTAGAGGCTTTAGCTGTTGTCGGAGTCGGTACAACACTCTGTAAAAGTGTACATGTTATACTACTTATGCATTCTTCGGATTTTTAAAGATTTTACTGCACTAAGACATCTATGCTGATGATGGTAATGAAAATAATAATAATAATGATGATAATTCTAATAATATCAATAACAATAGTAATGATAATAATAATGATAATCATAATAATAGTAATAATGATGTTAATAATGATAACAACAATAGTAATAGTAATGATGATAATAACTGTTATTATCCTTTGAAGGGATGCTAATACCAGCAGTGATCATGATTATAATCCTGAGAACAATAACAATTATAATGATGATGATGTTGAGGAACAGGAGATAAGTAAGAGGAAGATGATAGAGATAAGGATAATGAAGATGATTACAGTAATGATAATAATTATGATGATATTGAAATGTTCATCATAGAAATAAAGATAATAGCGATGATAATACTGACATTAATGATAATGATAATTATTGTTATTATCATCATAATGATAATTGTAGTAATGGTAATGATAATAATAGCAATATGAGAGAGATATCAATAAATTACAATAATAATAATAATAATGATAATAATAATGATAACAATATTTCTTTATAGTAATGATGATCGTAATAACAATGATTAATGACATTAATACAGATGTCAGTGGAACAAGAACAGTGAAAAAATACATAAACCATAATAAATGCAGACAGCCAATCATAATGTTAACAGCCCCCCAAGAAAAAAATACAATCGTACTAAAACCAAAACGACAAACCTTTGGAGAAAAAAGTCCTGCATCTGGGCTATGGAGGGCGTGGTCACGGGTCGAGACGAGCGGGTATAAAAGGCGAGATTCTCGGACGACCTTCCCAAACCTCCTCCGTCCAGTCCAGAGAGACCTCCGTCCGCGACCTCCCCAGCGACACAAAATGAAACTCATTGTTAGTAAACATCGGGATTGCTTTGTCAAAATGGAGCATATTCATGGAATGTGTGTCATGGATATATGTGTTGCTATTCTTGTTCAAATATTTTGATATGATATACTGTGCTGCCTGTATGATTTCCTTTAGATGCAACTGATATGCTTTTTATCTATTATTTTCCTTTGCAGGTTTTATCTCTGTTGGCAGCAACATGCTCCGCGGCTCCGCAGCTTTATCAGACGGTGGCAGGAACTGTGGCCAGTCCACAGTGGAACCTTCCGGCTGTTATGAAGATTCCTGAACCAGGTGTAAACTTGGGAATGGTATTAACCGCCCCTGCCCCTGTCCCCGTTGTGAAGGCCGCCCTGTCCCTGTCCCGTTGTGAAGGCCGCCCCTTCCCTTACCGTCGTTGAAGCTGCCCCTGTGGCTGTGGCCCCTGTTGCCCGCTGGTCAAGAGTGCAGCCATTGTGGCTCCTGCTGCCCCTGTGGCAGTCGCCCCTGTGGTCAAGAGCGCTGTCCCCGTCACTGTGGTGGCAGCGCCTGAGCCCCTCATGGCCCCTGAACCCCCATGCCCTCCCTCAGCGTCCCTCACGTGGGAGGCCAATTCCACGCCCAGGACGAGGCCGGCCAGTACACCTTCGGCCACTACGGCGGCCCCAACACCCGCGTGGAGACCAGGGACTCTTTGGGTCGTACCTCCGGCAGCTTCGCCTACGTGGACCCCGAGGGGACGTCCAGGTGAGGAAGTACGCCGCCGCCCCGGTTCTGGCTTCAGGGTGGCCGCCTCTGACCTCGTCGTGGACACGCTGGCCGTGGCTCAGGTCAAGTCCGCCCACGCCCGCGCCCACCAAGCTGTTAAGTCGTTGACAGCAAATTCTGTTGTCACGCTAGTTTGATTCTAACTGACATGAGCTCACTTCCCGAGTAGGCCTACTCTACCAGTATATATCGTTTCCTGTATATATCTCAGACTTCCCTTTTATATACCAATAAAAAATACCAAGAATAAATGTTGAATTTTCCTCTTATTTTACCTGCATTTTGATTCACATTCTCAAGGTTTTTTATTGCTTTTCATGAACAATAAAGTTGAAGGTATCGCAGGCCCTTGTACCTTGCCTCACACCAGGACGGATTGCGGACAGCACAAGGACCTGCAGAGTTGGCTCACTTTAACGTAAGAATGGTTTGAGTTGGGCGCATCAAATCGTGTCTAGTCACAGTGATTCTGCCGCTGACCTGCAACACAGAAAGGGTATTTTATGTGACTATCTACCATTAGAAATTGGAAAGAAATCGAGCTTTTATCCATCCTTCTGCCACCGAGACTACTCGATGATGAAGGAGAATCCACTTTTGAAAAAGCTCTTTTCTTCCAATGATGATGGACCGTTCTTTCCCCACGTGTCAACGGAAGAGGTTGGGGGCGTAGAGCAGGTGAATGAAAGGGGCTCTTTGCCGGAGGATTTATTGGGGGAGATAGATGCTTGACCCCGCGAGAGACCCGTGCCCTGGGTGCCGAGGGCGGAGCGGTGACGAGCGAGACCGTCGTCTGTCTCTGGCTCTCTCTGCTCTCCTCCTGTTCTGGCCGGGTCTGCCTGACGAGACGTCCTTTTATGCAGCTGTTTCTTATGAGGGCGTTTTGCTTGCTTAGGAGAGTGTCAAAGGGAAAGTAAAGTGAGCACCTGCATCAGCTGACGGGGGAGGGCAGCTACCGGGGCCAAGGTGCGAAAGAGGTAACCATCCGGCCTTGCATGTATCGCTGACACCACCTTATCCAAATTAGTTATTTTATGCGCTATTGGATTCTACGGGAAATTGTGTGTTACTATGCTTCTGTAGCTGCCTAAATCACCAAATTACTTTGAAATTATAAAGAATAGATAACGAAAACTGTGGCTATCATTTGAATAATAATAATAATAAAATAATAGCAATAGCCCTTGCACTGTCTCAGCCAAATTTTGCAGAGTTGTTGAACATACATACTGACACATCTGGAATCTCTCGAACTTCTTATTTCGCGCAAAGTATAGAGTTGGCATCTTACATGTAGTGCCCAGCTGTTCCCGGAAACATACAGC